TGAACCGCGTACACAGTTTCCTTTTCAAAATATTGATGTTGGATTTCTCTAGTCTGCTGCTCAAGATGGTTTTTTCCTTCCTGCTAGCGGTCGACTGTGATTTAATTAGCGCGTGTATTTTGCTATGATTAACATTATCTCTTTCTCTTTTTCCCCTTCACTAGATCGAGGGGTTAAAGGAAAATGCAAAAGTCACTCCGGTGCGCGTCATCCGTCGCCTCGGCGCGCAGGGAATATGAAGTTCAGCAGTCGATATCTTGTTTATTTTTGGTAACGTTTCAGTAGTAAGAGCGTGCTTCTTTTGGCTGAAACGTGCCTTTTCCTTTGCTCCAGAGAAAGCAGCCGATGACGAAGTGCAGAAGTCGGACATCTCGTCCAGCAGTCAGGGAGTGATCGAGAAGGAGTCGCTGGGACCGCTGCTTCTGGAGGTAGGTGCTTGGCCGCCACCGGCAGCCTCCCGCCCCCCGCACGCCGCGCGCTGTGCCAAAAGGGAGAATGCAGAGCAGGAAGGCGGTTGGGTTTTATCAGCATGTGCTCGTGCTAACCGTGTCCTGGGCCTCACCAGCAGGTAAACTCATTTTAGTGCTTCGCTCGAGCACATCATGTAGAAGGTGAATCTTAACCCAGCTTGATGGAGCGCGGTGGAACGGTCCAAGCGCGTGCTTGAGTGCGCTGCGTGAAATCCAAGCTGGGCTGCATAAGCTGCTTAGTATCAACATGGAAATGCTGAGGTTACTCTACGTGGGGATGAAGTCAAGCTCCTGAAAAGTTAGCGAGCGGTCTGCTCACGTGCATGAATGGCTTTGGGCAGGTTTCCCTCCTCCTGTCCTCTGCCAAACGGGGAGAATTTCCAAGTTCCTCTTGTTTTTGGTAGCTCAGCAATAGTCAGGCGTCAGCAGGACACTCAGCGCAGGGCTCAGCCCGTGGGGCCGCGCTCGGCCGGCGTCCCCGGCACTGGGGTAGAAACACTGGGTTGCGCTGAGTCGAAAACGGGTCCGCTCGTCGGCCGCGGCGACAAACTTCGTATCCTGAAGCGATCGGCCGCATCGCCAGGCAGAGGCAGCGCCTTCCTGGAGTGACCTTGTTTGATTTAAAGTGGCTTATAAAATTGCAGGTTCGAAGACCAAAAGAGCACAGGATAATAATCCGTTTCATGTAATTAACTATAATAGCATAATTGCTGACATAACACAGTCCATAGATTTACCCTGCGATTTCTACTCGAAGCCCAATAAATAACTAGTAGGTGAAACGTAGTGTGTTTTTTGAGAAAGGCCAGATTTTGTGACACCTGGTGGTGAAGAAACTCCTCTAATTCCTTGGTGGCTGTTGGCGACGTTATCCAGACCCAGTCTGGATCCCAAATGAGGAACAGGGGAGAGAGACACCCCCCTACCCCGCACTGTGTTTTGGCCTCTGTTGCCTCTCTCTAAGAGGCTCCGCGGCGACGGGGAGTCGTCCCACGTTTCTCTCCCGTCGTGCCGAAGCGCCTGGAAGATGGCACGAGAGCCGCCGGAGCGCTACGAGTACGGCACTGCCTCGAGGCTGCCGCGCTTAGCGATCTCTGCGCTGGATCTCGCGACCAAGGTCAGCAGCGCTCAACGCTGATGGGAGCGACCGGTCCGCTGGCCGCCGCGGAGCTTTGCCGACAGAGCCGCAGGGAGCTCCGAAGCGGCACTGGGATGGCGGCGGGGGGAATTGCTGAAGAACGCCAGCCAGTTGTTGCGTGTTCCCAGCCTACCCGAATTTCTTTGGGGATTAAAGCGTGACTAAGGCGTCTGCTTTGGCAGTGTGTCAGAGCAGATGCGCCTGAATCACAGAGTCACAGAACGGCTGAGGTTGGAAGGGACCTCTGGAGATCGTCCAGTCCAACCTCCCGGCTCAAGCAGGGTCGTCTAGAGACGTTGCTCAGGATCGTGTCCAGGCGGGCTTTGACTGTCTCCAGCGAAGGAGACTCCACAACCTCTCTGGGCAACCTGCTCCAGTGCTCAGTCACCCTCACAGGAAAGAAGTTTCTCCTCATGTTCAGATGGACCTTCCTGTGTTTCCGTTTCTGCCGGTTGCCTCTTGTCCTGTCGCTGGGCACCACGGAGAAGAGACTGGCCTCATCCTCTCGACACCCCCGCTTCAGATACTTGTACACGTTGATGAGATCACCTCTCGGTCTTCTGAGAGGGTGACCTGAGTCATCCCCGAGGTTGCCCTGGAGGTGGGAAAGCTTTGCTAGCCCCTTTCCGGGCACCCTGTTTCCTAGAGATGTGCCGGAAAACTTCCTCTTCCCGGGTGGGACACCAGGAAAGAGAACGAAAGCCAACGAGACTGAATACAGAGGGCAAAGCAGCCAGCTGAAGGCATGCCTTCAGGGGTAACAGTGCTGCAGCGAGCCAGCGGATGGGTTAGCTGGGTGCAGTATGAAGAAAGTACAGGACCCTGGTGGCATGGGATGGTAGCGGGTTTGGTGCCGCTTTGGTCTAGGTGCAGAGCAGGGGCAAACGCCCAGGCAGTTGGTGGCTTTTGTCGGCTGACGAGACGGTGCAGTTGCCCGCGCAAAGTGCTGGCGGAGCTACGCCATGACTTCTGCAGCGGCGGCCGAAGGCGCTTGAAGAAGTTGCTGAGGAGCGGTCCGGCCGTCCCCCAAGCTGGTGCCTCGGCGGGGACAGGTTCGAACCGCCAGGCAGGATCTGCTTTGTGAAGAGGAAGGGAGACGGGTGCTTGCAACATGGCCTGAATTATTTGGGAGTCGGCAGCCCGGCCAAGGAGCTCGTCTGCCCAAACCCTGTTTGGGTTACATCACGTCCTGCGAGAGCAGCAGCGGGCTGAGCACAAACGTAAGGGGGAGCAGCGTGCGTAAACCTGCAGTGAATCCACATCATTTGTAGCGCAGGCTCGGGAACGCACCGCTCAGTGTCTTGCGCTTGAATTATGCCCAGGGGTTTGGTTTGACAGAGCCCGGTTTCATTCGAGCCTTGCTAAGCCCAGCTTTGTGCGTTTGGGTCACAGCGAAATGGGCCCCGCACTAAATAGGTAATATAAGTGGCACTGGAAAATCGGGAGTCACTACAGAGAAAAGGAAATTAGTTAAATCGGCTAGTTCAGGGCTAAAAGTTGTACTCCGTGCTTGCACTGGGTCTGACTGCGGCCTCGCCGCAGGAAAGGACACGAGGGCACGTTACCGTTCAGGAAGGGCTGCTTGGTAAATACTCTGTTGTGCACCGTTTGATTTAAAATCCCAGTTATTATTGATGCAGAGCGAGGACGGATGCCGGCACCGGCCTTCTGCCGCAGCAGCACGCCAAGCTGCAGGGCAGGGTTGCTCGGAGAGAGGTGAGGGGTGATGTGCCGCCGCCGCCGCCGGGACGGGCGGGCTGGATTTTTTTTTCCCAGCTGGGGGCTGCCGGCCGGGTGCCGCAAGAGGTTGTAGCTGGGCACCGCGAGGGGTTGCACCCAGGCGCCACGAGGGTTTGCACCCAGGCACTACGTGCACCCAGATGTGAGGGTTTGCACCCGGGTGCTGCCAGGATTTGCACCCACATGCAAGGGTTTGCACCCGGGTGCTGCGAAGGTTTTCACCTGGGTGCAAGGGTTTGTACCTGGACACATGGGGGTTTGCACCCGGGTGTGAGGATTTGCACCCAGGCACGACAAAGGGTTGCACCCACGTATGAGGGTTTGCAACCAGACACTGTGAGGGTTTGCACTTGAGTGTAAGGGTTTGCACCCAGGCATCAAAAGGGGTTGCACCCGGGTACTGTGAGGGTTTGCACCCGGGTGTGAGGGCTCTTTTTTGGGTGCCCGAAACGCAAAGGCTGGTTGTCTTGGCAACCAGCAGCAGCTGTGAATCGGGCAAATTGCGGCTGAGCTGCCAGAACCGTTTCGACAAAAGATTTCTCTTTTTTTTTTCTTTCTTTTTTCTTTTTTCTTTTTTTTTTAACGCTTCCTGCTTCTGG